TAAGAGGCCGGCGCCCTACTCACTGAGCCACAGGCCCTGCCTCTGGGACAAACATTTCTTATTAATGAATTAAAAAACACACATATATAGCTCAAATTTTGTAATTTTTATATTATTTTTGACCTAAGTAGGGATCTGTAATTTTACTATGTTATATTGCCATTATTTGACTTTGAAGTTGTCCTAATTCATTTATTTAAAAATAATCTAAAATTTACATAAGAGTTGCAAGCATAGTGCTAAGAATTTTATTCCCTGAGCTATCTGAGTTCATTTAGTTATAGTGTTTCTTCTTTAGTGCCCTTTGGGCTCAGGCAGTTCTCAGTCTTTCCTTGACCTTCATAATGTTGACACTTGAAGAATACAGGCCTTTTTTTTTGGGGGGGGGGGTAAAACATCTCTTAGCTGGGGTTTGCCATTTGTTCATGATCATATTTGAATTGTACTTCTTTGGCTGTAATAGAAACATTGCTGTGCTATTCTGTTTAGATCCTACCAGGTGGCACAAACTTTAAATTTATCTTGTTATAACTTTGATCACTTCGGTTAAGGGTTTTTTGTTTTGTTTGGGGGGTTGTTTTGAATTTGGGTTTATTTATTTTTGCCAAGCCTCTCTAATATCAACTCTTTTTCTTTATAATAAGTAATGTGTGGAGATACATTCAGACTTTGATTTTCATTACATACTTTGATCCTCAAATTGTCACTGATTTGTCCCCATAAAGATGACTCTTGTGTCATTAACATGTCTCCAACATTTTTTGAGCACTTCTCTTTATGGAACAAAAAGATCATTAAGCATGAGCTTGAACTCTGCCTGGGCCAGACCTGGAACTGATCATTTTCCCAAAGAACTCTGGTTCCTTATGGTGAAGAATGCAGTTCAGAAACAAGGTTGCTAGGTTTGCTCATGCCTCCTTGGAGGTATCATTGCTTATATTCCTCTAGGTGACAAAGTTAGGGGATATCTACCTATCTAAGCTATCAATCATCTTCAGTACTGAAGACTATGAGGTTGTACTGATACTGCCACTTGCAACCCAACACTGCAGTGTTTTTATCTTTCTCCCTCTCTACATTTGTGGATGACTTGTCTGACAGTGAAAAACAGTCCCTATATTTGAACAGCTCCGCTGACCCATCTGCT